CAGCAGGAAGTACCTAGGATTTGCCTCTGGACATAGGAAGAGGGGACCTGCCCACTGCTGCCATTGTTTCAGCTAACTCAGGAGTGGGGGGGAGCCCCAGAGCCGTTCCTGCTCCACTCCAGCCAGGGCTTCTGAGTGACACCACAGAGTGCTAGGCTTAGCCTGGGAAAGCAGTGGCAGCAGGCAAGTCCCCCACCCTTCTTCATGTCCTCTGTGGGCCTGGAGGAGATGCTGGAAGTAAGAACTGCCTTTTATCATCACTGGCCAAGTCCTAAATCCCATGTAGGTCTCAAAAGCTACTGCAGGGTAAGTAGCAGTGACCTACCTACTGTTGCTGTCTGAACCTGGCACTCTGCACAGCTGCTTCCTTCAGCCCCCAGCTGGAGCAGAGCAGCAGTGGTCCTGGGGCTTCCACCCCACCTCTGGGTCACCTAGGGACAGTGACAGCAGTGGATGGGTCCCTCCTTCACCTGCTCCCTGCTTGGTCCCCCTGGGCATTCCACACTAGCCCAGGGCTCCAGCCACACCTTGGACTCCAGAGAGGACTGAAGCATCTAGGGTCATGAGGAACTGGAGCCACTGGCACTTGACCTACACTGTAGAAGGTGGGGTGCAACTATACCACTGCACCCATCCTGGATCTGCCCCCCTGGATACAGTCAAGGGCAACTTATTTTTTTATTTCAGCACATTGTATAGTGCATGCTTGTTTCATGTTTTTAAATATTTATAAGTCTATTATTGCCAGATAAGGCAAAGCTTGCATTCTACCTTGAGGATTATATACATGCTAAACTTTACATCAAAAAACCCCACCCCCACCCTGTTATAGTCTCAAGAAGTTAACAGTTTAAATGTTTTTAAGGTAACATGTAGAGAAGCCCTCCTCCAAACTTCTAAAGTTCTGATAAATTATTCCTATATGTAATGGCAGAACAAAGGAGTAAACATTTTCTAGCACAGGAGAGACTTACTTTTCTAGCTCCTCTTGCGAGTGTGCAAAGGTACAGCTGGCCCCACGGGGACACCCCCCTCTTTGCTTCATGTCTCGGCACATGTATGTTTTATACTTGCTGTGCTGAGGAGGCTGACCAGGTTAAAAACAAAAATAATATTTAATATCAATTACCATAAAAATTTAACAGAGAATGTGCTGATTACAATGCTCTTCCACTAGAATATTTAAAAATGAACATATTACTAACTTAATCAGAAAGGGCCTCAACTGAAACTGGAGACGTTTTAAAGTTGAGTCTGATAAAAGATTATATTGGAGTCTGGAGTAGATATTTTGACAGCAGAATACATTTATAGCAATTCCTATATACCAGGGGTGGGCAATAATTTCAGCTGAAGGGCCACTTAAGAGTTTTGTTGAGCTAACAAATATTTTTGTCTCAATTTGTGTGTTTGTGTAGTTTATATAGAGGTGATTGCATATGTCAAAAAATAAAGTCTTACTCTTGTATACTGTATGGGGGTGTGTGGTTAGGGGCTGGGCGAATGTGTGTGTGGAGTTTGTGAGGGGGTGTGGCTGTGTGATGGGGTATAAGGCATGTTGGAGGGGGGTGTGAGAGAGAAAGAGAGAGAGAGAGAAAGAGAAAGTGCAGGGTATGTTGGGGGGTGTGGGTATGGGTATGAGCATGTGTGGAGAGGT